AATCTAATCGGTAAATGTCCAAGCCTGATGCTGACCATCTCATGTGCCCCAGTTACTCCATGAGCTAATGTCATTCGGTGTTCCAGTTCATGCACCAGCTGGGGCAAGGGCAGATTCATTAATCTAATCGACCATAGTGCAAGCCCTTGCGCCAATCGGGTTGAGTACCCCAGCCACTCCATGAACTAATAGCATTCGGCGGTTGAGTTCATGCAACTGGGGTAGATTCATTAATCTAATCGGCCAAACGTCGAGGCCTTTAGCCGTTTTACTCAATAGTCTATTGAATGTTCATGTACCTTTCCAAATTGTAAATGCCGATTCTTTTAGTTATCCGGCCAAATAGCAAAGAGGTAGAGGATCTTTAATTGATTCGGTTAATTTATTGGATGTTTAATTTACTCATATGTAGCAAACAGAAAAGCATAAGGAATTGTCATTAATAAATTAAAGACAAATAGTATATGCAGTAAACTGGAAAGCATAGAAAATTTTCATTAATAAATTGAGCGCAAATAGCAGTCATTTTACACATGAAAATTAGCTTACATTCAAAGAAATGAAAATCTACTGACAAAAACCTACAAAAACTATGCATCTAGGATGCCTACCAAAAACCAAAATTTCCCCTAATCAATCTTCAGGGTCAGATGCCAGCGGCTCAACATCCACTTGCTCGTACGGAATCGGCTGTGCCAATGTCACATTTGTAGCAGTGAGGGATTTGAGCCAGCCATTTTTGAAGCCCCGATTCTCAAACTTGGGCACTTCTTCCACATAGTTTTCCAAGGCGGTGTCCTTCCCAGCTTGGAACGCCTTGGAAATCTCAGAGTTGGCTATTTCCTTTGCCTTCCTCGATTCTTCCAAGTCAGCTTCCAGCTTGGCGATCACCTCCTTAGCTAACTTGAGTGCATCTTTGCTCGCTTTTTCCCTCTCTTCGGCGGCAAGCCTTAGTTGGTTGGAATTCCTCACTTGCTCGACCTTAAAGTCGGCTCTCGCACGTTCCTCCGCCGCTTGCGATGCCTCGGAATTAGCCCTTTGAGAGGCTACCACAGCCTTGTTCTTTTCATTGTCAATTTCGGCTTTCATGAAGCCGATCTGTTCTATGGCGTCATGTTGCCGGCGGCCGATTTCGCCTATCCTTCCCACCGTCTACAAAACAAGGAAATAGAGTTGCAACAAAAAAATAATAAGAAATATATATATATATATATATATATATATATATTTAGGCGGAAGATTGCAGATAAGGCAAGTAAGGTACCAATAAGGCCGACTGAGTGGCTAAAGCAATTAGCATTAGATCTGGCTCAGCCCGAAACGTGGCTCTGTCTACCGGTAGAGATATTGAGGAGGCCATACTCAAGGCCACAGCCAGGTCCTTTAAAGCCGACGTATCAGAGGCAATTGGCATATTCTTTATCCTTGGCTAAACAGTGAACGAAACAACCAAGTCCGATTCCTCAATGCGCGGTCGTTTATCGCTTTGGTCCTCATCATGGATGGCTTCTTGCTCAATGGGGCGCTTCTCTCCCCTTTGCTCAACCTCATCCCTGTTTTACCTGCTCCGTTTCGACTGTTTCGGTCTGAACTATTTCTTGCACAATAACAGGCAGAGAGGACTCAGCGACCGTGGCAGGTGGAGTTTCCGATCAGACAGCCTCAACTCTCCTCTGGGCAGCCATCCTTTCGACGTTTTTCCTCCTGGCAAGTTGCGTGAGCGATTCCCCAGCCATGTTCTCAAAGTCTGTAAAAATGTCCTCGAAAGAGACGTCCCCTCGGCCTGATGTTGATGGAGGGTCGGACGAATTGAGTCCGGCTTCCTCAAAAGCCGAGTTAAGAGCCTCATCAACCTCAGGTTCCAACTGGTTCGGGTCCTCGACGACCGGTTCGGCTGCTTGTTCTTCCACATGCTTCAAATCGGAGGCTTCCAAACCAATCTGCCTTAGGTTTTTGAAGTTGGGGAAGATAAGGGCTGTAAGATGCTTTTCGCCCCGTGGAATTGGAATGTGGTCTACCGCCGAAAACGTTGCGCAAGTCGGCTTATATCGTAGGAGAATGTGGGCCGCCCTCCCTTGTTTTTGTAGGCTTGGACGGCCAAAGAACTGTAGTGCAATTTTAATTTCCACAAGTACAGCGTCGTCGGCTGAAACCAACACTTTCTTCAAATCATTGCCTGCACAAACAAAGCGGTAAGCATACAGAAAGAAAGCCGAATACATATATGATAGTAAAAAAACAAAAATGAGCTATACGACCACCTAGTTCACCTTTTCACCTTGGCACGGGATCTAGGCGACCTTCACCCTCGCCAAATTCCCAATTGCCTCGGACAACAACCATCACATTGTCAACACGCTTGCTAGAGCTGACAAGCATAGTCACTAAGTGATGATCGGTATCCTTGGCCCTGAGAAAATAGCGTCCCAGCCGGCCAGTAGACTTGGCTAAGGCATACCAGTGTCGAATTGCAGGTATACCAAGGTTAGTCCTAAGGCGTTGGTTTAACTCTATAATTTCTAGTATAATTCAGAAAAAAATTACGTTGGGTTGGGAAGGGATTAGATCCCAGTGTCGAAGGACAACCCATAAAAATGGGTGAAACAAAAAACGGACTCCGCCCTCAGCAATCGATAGGAGAGGAAAGATGATTGTACTCTCATCAATCCTCTTCATATCAGCAGTGCTGTCTGCTACGTGTGACAGACGGACGTCGTCGGGGATGGAATAATGACGTCGAAAGCCAAAAATTTGATCTGAAGAAAGGAGTTCTTTCAAATGTTTTTCCATCCTAGTCAGCCTATGGAATATGCAAAACTAAAGGTAAACGAGGAAATGGGATTCAAAGTGAAGGAGAAGAAAACTTACAAGAGGCAGAAGGGACAATGAGAAACAGGAGGAAGTTGCAGAGGTCGCGAAATGGAGGTATATTGAAAGGCAAACCAGAAGTTTCGAGTATTCAAAAGGAACTTATATTTGAAGGGACAACATAGTTTCAAATCGCATTAAATGAAGAAAGCGTATGAAGAGGCGGGAAGATGTAATAATGCATAAAAAACGTGTGCTCTGACATACATTGGGATGAGGTTAGCCGCCATTCTTTGCTTGACTTTTCAAATTCGAAATCAAACATGCCATTCGAAACCAAACATGCCGACTAACTGGCGCTAATAGGATGTTTGGGGGGCAATTGTGGAAGCCAAATATTGTGGGGGCAATAATGCCGAATAACGATATAAGGACAATCAAGGACGGATTTGTATTCGGCTTCATTTTATACGATCACAGGGCCGAATAGGTTAATCGACATTCCAGCCAGCCGAACAAAAGCCGAATAAATAAACGAGCAATGGATTAAGGATGGGCCCGACCCTAAGGCCCAAAAGAAAAAATATAAATAGAGGAGCATTAGCCAGAGAAAGGTACGTGAGAACAAGTTCAACTTCAGATATAAGCAACCAAGAGAGTATACACTGACTTATCCGTTGGAGTGCTAATTCTAGCACCCCCGACCGGAGTGTTCATTCCTTTTCAGGTGACTAGCAAAGGATCACGAGCGTCCTACAGGATTCAAAGAGTATTTTCAAACCACTTCTCCACACTACTCAATTCATGAGTTAAATTCATTATCTTTCAACAACCAAAATGAGACTATAACTCAACGGTTTTCCAACTATGCAAAACACACTTAAACATTTCAAAACTGCCATTTTACGGTTATTTCGTCTGAAGGAATTGACACCCATTTATATATGAAATTTCGGGTCTTTCACCCTGGACACTCTGGCTAACTTGCTTTAAATGGAGTTCATCCCCTTTCTCCTCCCAAACAAATTTACATACGCAATGTATTTATAAACATAATCACATATGGAATGCATCCCCTTTCTCCTCCCAATAAACATATATATATAATGTATTTATAACATGGTCATACTCAATGACACCAACAATGGATTAGGATTAAATCACCTAATCCTCATGTTATTTCTACAACAATCTTAGCTATCCTCCACCAATAGCCCAATGCAATTATTTCAAAAGAGATGTTCAATATCAAAATAGATAGTTTATTCAAAACTTCCATAGGTGAGATATTACATATCCAATATCACCATTTATAACCACAACCTTCCAATTTCACATTTTCATTGTTAATCCTAATATTTCATGCAAGATAATGATTTAATCAAATTAGGGAAAAAATTCCCCCTTTTACCAAATCTCAACCCAAACACCAAAAACAACTATTTTGGCACAACATGATCTCATATTCAAGCCTCATACTCATTCACTACAACAAAATTGAGTTTTTACGGCTCCATATTAACGACATACAGTAAATCCAAGCCGTGATTTCTCACTTTTACGACTTACATTTTTGCATGTCGTACATAATTTCCCAGCCACGACGTGTCTATTGCGTAAGCCGTAAATGCTAATAATGATGATTTTTTTACGGCTTGCAATATTAGCTGTAAATAATAAAACTTTCTACGACGTGCAAATGACATGCCGTTAATAGATCAACTATACACGACATGTGTACACTAGCCGTTAAAAATATTAAACATTTCACGGCGCACAAAAAGTCAGCCGTTAAAAAGTACACTTTCCACGACGCATATATGCTAGTCGTTAAAAATATTTAACTTTTCACGACACGCAATTTCTGTCGTGAATAGTATGACCAAAATAAAAATAAGTGTCAAAATAAAAATTTTAAGCGCCAAACACCCAAAATAAAAAAAAAATAAATAAATCAAAAACCCCAAACTAGAAACCCTAACCTCTTACTCATCATTGTCAACAGATCAAACCTGCAAAGACTCTTCCACACTCTATCCAATCTTCCACATCATATATGGTCCAAACCATATACGGTTACACTTCCTCTCTCTCTCTCTCTCTCTCTCTCTCTCTCTCTCTCTCTGCCTCCGACGCCACTGTCACTGTGATTGTCGCGCCGCCACCGCCGCCATCACCTCCGTTAGCACCCTCTCTCTCTCTCTCTTCTCGTCTCGTTGCTTCAGGACATTGATTTGCTTACGCCATCACTTCCGTCTTCACCATCTTCATGCCATTTTCAGACGACGACGATATGAGATATGAAGGCTTCAAATCTGCTGGATTTATGGTAGATCTGAGATGTGAGGGCTCTTCCTCTGCTGCTACAACCACCGAGATGAACGATGGAGGCAAAATCTGTTTGAAGGCTTCAAATCTGCTGGATTTATGGTAAATCTATTTGATCGATCTCATTTTCTGCTTTGATTTGGGTTTTTTTTTTTTTTTTTTTTGTAGACTGATATTAACCATCGAAGATGTTTGGGAGAGCACCTAAGAAAAGCGACAACACAAAGTACTATGAAATTCTTAGGGTTTCGAAGAACGCTTCACAGGATGATCTGAAGAAGGCCTATTGTAAAGCCGCCATCAAAAACCATCATGATAAGGGTGGTGATCCTAAAAAGGTACTCAATTTCTGTTTAGATTTCTCAAAGATATGCTCTTTGGATCTATATATATGTATATGTTTCTAGATCTGTATCTATGTATTTGAGCTGGTCAACAATTTATTAAATTGTAATGGGTGTTTGATTATATAATTTAGGTTTTTTAAATTGTAAAATTTCCTAAACTTTAGGACTATACAGAAGAAATTGGTAGTTTACAAGAATATGATAATAGTTTAGGGGTTGAGTGAATTAAACCTTTACTTTTTCTTCTTTCTAACCTGAAATTGCATTGGTAGGTATGTTTCACTGGAATTTGTGTCTTTGTGGGTTGAACAAAGAAAACTTAAATTATTTGTGTGTTATAAATTTGTTATGTATATTTCAGCAATACCCAATTCCCCCTTCTCATTGTAAACTCTGAAACTAGTACAAATTACTATAGAATGACTCTTTATCTTTCTTGTATAGAAATTGGTTTGTAAATTTTTAGTAGCCTGCTTAGTTTGTTGTGCTTTTTTTCTTATTTCTGAAGTTATTGATGATTTTTCATGAGTAGACTCAAGGTTAGCTGAGTAGTTTGGAAATTCTTGTACTCAAGGCTAGCCCTATCGATCACTGTCGATTGTCTCCTCTTAGATCGCCTCACCACTGGCCGATTCAGTAAATTTCATTTTGCTCTCTTGTTTCTCTCTCTCTCTCTCTCTCTCCCTGCTTTTGTCTCCCTCACTAAGTTGAATTCATCTTGTGGAGGACGGTCTTTGATTGTTTGAGGGCACTGTAGAGACATTTTTATATTCTTCACGTTTTTGAAATCTTTGCAATATATATTCATATGGATCTCAGCAGTGTGTCACCTTTCTGTGAAGTGAATTCCTAATTATTGACTATGCATTTGATAAAAGGTAACTGCTGCGAAAAGGCCAAAGAATAGTGCATTGGATTTTGGGCACAATGTGAGATCTGCCCCTGTAATCACAGAGGTAAGATTAGCTAGAGTTTGGTTCATGTATACATACAGTCAAGTTTCAAAGAAGCCGAGCTGCAACTATTCATGAACAGTTTGGTTCACTTGCTGCCCTAGTCAAACGGATAATAGTTTGCCAATAACACTCACTGCCAAGGGACACCTACAAACATAAGATGTTATTCGTGATTTCTAAATTATGTTGTGGAAAATTGTATTATTTGCTATCACAGTGGAGTTTTGAAGTATGGTATGATGAAAAACACTTTCTTTAATGAAAAGTAGCACAATGCCCCAAACTTTAGTAGAATTCCTGGACATTACTATTTTACCTTGTCATTCATGCTAGGAAGCACGGATACGGATACGGGATACGGATACGATACGATACGGATACGGCGATACGACAAAATTTGAAAAACTAGGATACGGGTACGGCGGGGATACGTTCGTAAAAAATATTATTTTAACAATTTTTAGTAATGCAGTATGCATAAAAATAAAACCTAAAGCAAAAGACAACTTGATAAAGAATAAAGATTCCTATAAAACTAAGAGTCTTCAAGGTCAATAACTTCAACTTGTTCCCCTTCATCATTGAATATCACAAGACCTTAGCTAAAGCCAAAAAACCATTCTTAAATAAAAATTTCAGCAAATATACTTTTTTAAGTCATCAATGATAGCCTAGGAAGCACGGATACGAATATGGTGATATGGGGATGTGGATATGGCCAGTGTTGTCAAAGTCGCGCCTAGGCGCAAGGCGAGTCGATGCGCACCATCTGTGCCTGTACAGGTATCAGGCAAGGCGGCTTGAGCCAGGCGAGCACCTTAGCCGCGCCTTTGGCAAGGCGAGAGAGGCGCAAGGCCCTTGCCTAGGCGCGACTGAGTGTTTATTCTGTAGATCAGATCGAACGACTCAGATTCGACTCAGATGAAGCTTTCGAATGGCATAAAATCACAGAGGATCAGAACTCGTGTACCATATCAGCCGAATAGGACTCAGATTAACCCTAATCGAAGTCGTCTCGCAATCGACTTCGAGCTGCTGGAGCGACGACTGCGACACGAGCTGCGACACGAGCTGGACTTCGACTGCGACAGTGGATCGACTTCGGCTGAGCAGGTTCGACTCCTTCTTCTTCGTCTTCGACACTGATCCCCTTCTCCTTCTTCTTCGTCTTTGACAGGTCGTCGTTCGACTTCCAGATTCTCTTTTTTTTTTTTTTCCTTTTCTTTTTTCTCCTTCGTCTTCGCAGGTTCAGTTCAGTCCTCTCTTCTTTTTTTCTTTTTTTTCCTTTTCTTTTTTTTTTTTCAATTATTTGAGTTTATGTTTTTTCAACACTGGTTCAACCCATTATGATTATTACATAAATAAATAAATTAATTCATACATACATAAATAAAAAAATAGATACATTACATTACATCCATTATGATTATATTAAAATTGATTCATCATTATACTGAAATTAATTAATTGATCATGAATTAAAAAAATAAAAAATTGATTCATGAGTTAATTAATTCATACATTCATTACAGTACATACATTGAATCATAACATTACAGGATGATGATTGACTGACACCGACCTAACCTACCCTTTCTTTTGATATTGATGTTTTTAAGTGTTAAGTTAAGACATATATTAATATTTGTTGGATATTTATGTTTTGGATGTTTAGTGTTTATGTTTTTATTTTATTGAATGTGGATTATTTGATCTTTGAAAATTGGAATGTTATGTAATATGCACTTTCATGGCTTTGAGAATTATTCTATATTTTGTCTTGAATCTTGATTACTTTTTATTTTTTAAAAAATTGTCTTACTACTATGAATGATTAGTCTATATTAATTTTTCTATTTTTTACGAATACTGTGCGCCTTACTTCAATAAAGCCCGCGCCTCGCCTTGCGCCTTGCGCCTAGGCTCCAAGAGACCTTCGGCGCCTTAGTGCGCCTTGAGCCTTTAAAAACACTGGGCAATGTTACAGGAGATAGATATAAGCTCACCAGTTAGGTAACTCAAATTTGCCATAGTATAGTTAGTGTTACAGGATTTACAATTTCTGTTTTTCTCTTCTTAGAAGACCTTTTCATTTAGTCTTCTTTCCGAACCACAAAATATATATCTATATATATAAGAATCACTTTCCTGCTTGTGGGTTGCTTTTTTTATTCCTATTTTGCCCTTTAGCTTGGTTGGTGAAATAATTGGGGTGGTGGGCTTTTGGAAATTATATAAGAAATTTTGATTCATTGTTATTAGCCCAATAGTTTAAAATGAGAGATTTTTTTGACTTTATTTATTTTTTAAAAGTGATGTTAGAGTGATTATTTGTATGGTTGTTATACTTTCAACTTTTTACTACTATATCTTCAATTTTTGTACAATTAAATACCGTTCATATAAAAAAAAACCAAAATTACTTTACAGAATGCGGACTCATAACTAAAACTCTTAAATACGTATAAAAAAAAGGGTTTAATTGTAACTTTTACCAACATTTTAACTATTCAAGTTTGGTTTGAAAACTTTTACGAATTTCAAAATTTATTCAAACTTTCTTCATTTAACTATTCAAATTTGGTTTGAAAACTTTTACGCATTTCAAAATTTGTTCAAACTTTATTCATTTAACTTGTTTTAATTGTTGAACGTAATATTTCATTTTTAAAATTGGTTATTCTATATGTCAAATAATTTCTTTTTTAACTTTGACATGGTTAAATTTTTGACAAAATAAAAAAACATACAAATAAGATCACATACCATATAAAATTGAAAACTGAAAGTTGAATGCTGAAAATTAAAGACTAAAAACTAAATGATAAATTTATTAAATTGAAAAGTTGGTTGTTAAAAAATTATATACTAATAAGAGCCAGTTGCGGTTTAGTATGGGGTGTTTTTTCAGTTTCCCAATTTTCCCTTTTACTTTGTATTATTTACTCATGGTGACTTGTATTTTAATTTTTCCATTTTGCCTTCTCTTTTGGTAATATTTACCACTATTGGTGGTTGTAATTTAGATGAAGGTTTATCGTAATTATGCAAAAAATCTTGGTCAGTTATGAAATATGAATATTTTATTTTAATTAAATTACAAATATACTCCGGAGGTTTGTTTAAAATATGAGTTGCTCCCATAATATTAGAAATTGCAACTACCGCTTGTTAAATTTTTTAATTTAACAGAATAATGAATAAAAAAATTTAACTACTTTCATATGCAACAATAAAATTATCAAAATTATGCATTTGAAAAATATTTCTTATATCATTAAAAGTTATTAATTAACTTGATGATTTATTTATTAACAAAATGGATCGCTTGTTATATGACTATGATTTATTTACAAAAAAAATACACTCAGGATAAGGGCCCAATGGACCACACAGTACGGTGAAGGCACAACATGGAATGCCATTGAATTAAATAAAATGAAATGAAATTATTATTTTTAATCTATTAAAACAAGCATTACCTTCAAGTCAAAAAATAAAACCAAAATTTTAAATAAAAATGTTTGAAATCCATAAAAAAATTTCACAATTAGGCCTACAATGACGTGATATGATAAGTATCAACTTTTCATTTCTTACCCAACTATTATAAGTAAATTTATGATTCTAAAATTATGAATCTTAACATTTTTCATTTAAAAAAATATAAGGGAAACATTATGATACGCACCCGCTTGAAGGGTGTGCACCATATGCACTTTGTTACATATTTTCGTGATGTGTTACGTATTTTTGTTGTAACTATAACCTATTTTTTTTGATAGGAGTCATGATAATTTGTGGTTGAGATAAAAAGTTACACGCTTTTATGATAATGTTATGTATTTTGTGGTATTGTTACAGATTTTGTGGTTTGAAAATGTTTTAATAAAAAAATATGTAACATTACTACGAAAATGAGTAACACTAAATCGTATCATTAAAAATTGTTAATTGACTTAATAATTTATTTATTTATTTAATATTGCATACAAATCAAAAAACAAGTTTTAAATTAAAATATTAAAATGCATAAAATATATAAAAATGCTTCATTTAAATTGTAATTTCTAAAATTTATAAAAAATTAAATCTTCTATGCCCCTCATAAAAGTTGTACAGAAATAATCAACTTAAATAATCTAATTAATTTATATATTTTCATACAAATTTTTTATTTTAATATTTTACCCGTGCCTTGCACGGGGCTTTTTTTTTTTTTTTTACCTAGTATATATATATATATATATTAGCGAAGTTAGTGTACCAAGAACTTGAAATATATATATATTGTAAATGTGCTAGACTGTTAACTCTTGAAGTCGGATTTATTTATTTATTTTAAATAAAGCAACAAGTTCTCATCCAAATCCAGTGTCTCCCAAATCTCCTTCTCCATCTTCAATTGCAATTTATCATGCATTTACATATGATCAGCTAAGGTGCAGAAATCACATTGCTATAGTTATGTTAAATGAGTCTGTTCAAGTGATACATTCATGTGTTTATTGATTCATAATCATAATGGCAGGGAAATGCGCTTCATAGCCAGGGCAAGTATAATGATGCGTTGCAGAAATATTTGCTTGTAAGTGTAGTGTTTGTGTCTGTTTCCATTTATATGTTTCATGTGTCAGTTTACTCTGTGCATCCTTAAGTTTTGCAATAATGAATTCTTATTTCTGTTTTCCCCCTTCTTTCTTTGTTCTCAAACATTTTTTAGGCAAAGTAGAGCAACAAGTTCACGCTCAGAGGCACAACCGAGGATATCTAAATCATCAACATTGACTCCACTTCAATTAATAGATGAAGAGGAAGCGGGCTCAGATGACACAGAGGAGGAAGATGTTGAGGGATACAAATCAACTGATGGAGAAGAAGATGATAGTTTGCTTGCCATTGATGTTGAGGATGATGATTGACTGACACCGACCTAACCTACCCTTTCTTTTGATATTGATGTTTTTAAGTGTTAAGTTAAGACATATATTAATATTTGTTGGATATTTATGTTTTAGATGTTTAGTGTTTATGTTTTTATTTTATTGAATGTGGATTATTTGATCTTTGAAAATTGAAATGTTATGTAATATGCACTTTCATGGCTTTGAGAATTATTCTATATTTTGTCTTGAATCTTGATTACTTTTTATTTTTAAAAAAATTGTCTTACTACTATGAATGATTAGTCTATATTAATTTTTCTATTTTTTACAAATACTGTGCGCCTTACTTCAATAAAGCCCGCGCCTCGCCTTGCGCCTTGCGCCTAGGCTCCAAGAGACCTTCGGCGCCTTAGTGCGCCTTGAGCCTTTAAAAACACTGGATATGGCGATATGTCAAAATTTGAAAAAGTACGATACGGGTACAGCGGGGATACATTCATAATTTTTTTTTATATAATTTTAATAATGTCATATGCATGAAAATAAAACTTAAAGTAAATTAATAAATAAGGAGAGGGATCCCTATTAACCTAAAAGTGCTCAAACATTCATAAAACATCCAAAACTAAATGCAAAAGCAAAAGCAAAAGCAAATGCAAATGCAAATTAAACATCATCCTTACATGCCAACACCAAAAAAAGAATGAGAGCAGAGAGAAGAAACGTGAGAGAGTGAGAAAGCGAGAGAGAAGTGAGAGAGACAACAAGGATACATCAATTTGACAAATTCTATTACTTAAGCTCTCACTATATTCCTCTTATGAAAGAACTAAACAAAATATTATAAGTAATATATAACTTCGAGTATCCGATACTTCAAAATTAAGTATCCGATACTTCAAAATTAATAAAAAATTAATTAAGAAGTATCTGATACTTTTAAGAAGTATCCGATACGTATCTGCGAGTATCCGAGGAGTATCGGTATCCGATAAGTATCCGATACGGATACGTCACCCTTTTTGAAGTATCTGTGCTTCATAGCATTCATGTTATGGTACACATCTATGAATCCTATTGTTTTATCATTTTGTTCAAATGTTATGTTCTTTTCTTACTTGTGATGCTCACTATCAGTGTTGCGCTAGCATTGTTGATTGTTACTATACCAGCTTGTTATGGTATACATCTATGAATCCCCTTGTTTTATCATTTTGTTCAAATGTTACATTCTCTTCTTACTTGTGATGCTCGCTTGGGTTTTCTTTATATCAATCATATGGGGAAGAAGTGGCTTTTCATGTGAGGGTTCTAACTCAAATTTTGTATATATAGACTGTGATATTTTGGGTAAGAAGTTTCGGGTGTGATATGAGGAAACTCAGTCTTGGGAGGGTGTTGGATTGCCTTTGTCTTTCTTCTAACTCAAGCTCTTGTTTCCGCATCAATTCTTTGGAAAACCAAGATGAGTTTGAGAGCAAGCCATTAGTTGTAAGTGAAGGTGGCAATTTGGTGAAACTGAAGGATGTTCTTGAAGGGCCCCAGACACTTACTTTCCAATTGAAGCCCAAGGTGAGTTACTTCAATGTATAATCCACTTTGTTGTTTTTATAATTTTTTTTTTTTTATGTAACAGTGGCTTTGGATTCTCTATCCCACAAACACTATGCCCACTTGTTCTAATTTATGTACAGTCATTTGGTCATGATTGGAGATTCTCACATAATATAATGGTTGCAAGTGAATTGAGATTGGAAGACAAAATTTTTGTAATAGAAGATCTCTGACCCATTGAATAATCAAATGAGTTGCTTTTAAGCCTATTTGGTTATATTTTGATTTTCTATTTTTGGTCCACTAAATAACCAGATGATTTACTTTTAAGCCTATTTGGAATTGTTTTATTTTTTTTTAAATTTTTTTTTTCAGTTTACAGAAAACACATGAAACTTGGGAAACTTGTTTGGTATTGTTTCCTGATTTTTTTTTATAAAAAAACTACCCACTTTTTAGGAAATATCAAAATGTTATTGTTGAATTAAAAAAAAAAAACTATTTTCACACACAAATAAAAAATGATGGGTTTATAAATCTGATTGTTGGAAATCAACAGACTCATAATCAAATAGGCTTTTAAATTTGATTGTTGACTTGGAATGAGTCTGTTGATTTCCAACATTAGTGGAATAAAAAATAAAAAAAAAAAACTCATTTAATTTGTGTTTGATGACTAATAATGGAGACGGTGGTGCTAAGGGTGTCAATGCATTACAATGGTTGTGCAAGAAAAGTTGAGATGCTAAATATACAAATTTCTAGTTTTAGAATATTACCCATTAAGCTCTTAAATTAGCATTCATCACAAAAACGGCATTTTTCTTTAGATTTGAGTAGTCTCCAGTTGAAAGTTGAGCTGGACCATACAATTAAGGTCTCTGACCGGAGAGAATTATTAAATGAAAGACTCTTCACAGGAAGAGTTTATAAAAATATGGTCATGTCGAATTTTTTCAAAAACTCTTATCAGTAAGAGTCTTCCGTTTAATAATTTTTCTCAGTTAAAGTCTTCTGTTTAATGACTTTTTCTAGTCAAAAATTTTAACTGTCTAGTCCAGTTAAAATCTCAACTGGAGACAAGTCGTTCCCTTTTTGTTTCCATAGCTTCATTGTGTATGTGTATGAATTAACTACATAAAACATGCGTCGATATGAGAACTCATGGCACAAGAAAAATAATTGAATGTCAAAGGTCAACCTATTGAGTTGATTCTATTAATCCAATGGATTTTGTTTCTTGTGGATGTGAACACATGTGAATTTTTAGTTTTTCTTCTTCTATTTTAACATTTACATATATGCATTATTAAACCACGGAAAATATTCATAATGCTCTCACATGTGTATGTTTTGTAAAAAGTCACATGGACACCCATTTGAGTAGTCAAAGTAATTTTCTATAAATTTATTCGTATTTATATTTTCTCTTTCTCTTTTAACACTAGAAATTTGTATCCTATCCTAACTTAACCTAAAGGAAATAGGAAGAAATTTAAACAGGTGGATAATTGTCAAAGTAAAATCATTACAGCAGATGTAGAGGAATGATGTATGCAGGTTGCTATTAACTTTTTAGATTTGGATGATTTTAATTTCTTATAAAGAGGTGGATAATTGTGTGACTCTGTTTTTCATTTCTTTCTTCCATTGTAGGTATGCTACACTACATGTTATGGGGTGTTAGTCCAATAGTTCGACTTTATCGGATGCTGTTCATACTTGTCTCATTCAGATTATCATGAAAGACTATATTACATTTCCTATTTTATTGTCTAACAAGAATTTTAAAGAGGTAAGATATATGTGGTTGGCTTACATACTTGAAATTAGATAATTATGAATGAATTCACATCATGCAGTACTGCATTATGTTGTGTTGATGTTACCTGAAGTATTTGTAACTGCTATGGAAAACTTTAGTTCTTATCTTCTATTCAGAAATAAGTAACAATGTATTATGGCATGAAAAATGGAGTCCTGAAAATGAAAATTCAGTATGTTTATTCTTTGTTTATTATGTTCGTCGAACTATTTACATTTGAGCAGTAATAATGGTCCCCTCATGCTTTGAATTGGTTACATCCACCTCTATGTATTAGTACAAAGTGCAGTTTGATAACATTATCAGTTTATTGTTTTTTGGTTTTTGTTTTGTTTGGTGTACACAAAAAGTTTTGAAAACGAATGAAAACAAAAATGAAGAAATATGTTTGGTGTGTTGTTGGAGGTAGTGGCAAGCGGTGTCCTCGAGGTCACTGGAGAGTCTACAGTGGCTGGCTGGTGGTGGTGGTGGTGGCAGTTGTGGGTAGCAGCTGGAGGTGGTGGGGGAGGAAGAAGAGAGTGAGAACTTGTTTCGCAAACAAGTGGAAACACTTTTTTTTTCCAGAAATTTTGAAAAATTTGAAACCATTAAAATTGTTCAAAGATATTTGTTGAACTTATCACTATATGAATACATGAACATATGCATATATATATATATATATATATATATTTATATTTGGATGCTATCAATGTCATAAACTTCTCTCTCACATCTTTTTACGTGCATGTGAGAGAAGTGTGTGGCACCATATTTTGGTGCATGATATGTTCATTTCCCTTTATATTTATTAGTTTTTGTTATATGTCTAGTATATTGAACCATGAATATTGTAACTAAGAATTAATGTCAATTTTGTTAAGTGAGCTCTGGAGTTGCTTGTATTCTTTATTTATGTTTGCTTGATTGCTATATATCTAGAGCGTTCCTGAACTTTTCTGAATTAAAACAATGTTGGTAGTTTACTCAGTTAGTAGTATTTTGATCAATTTTGTTTTGATGTATTTGGATGACAGATGGGGCACTTTTCATTTTATTTAAAGGTTTTAAGAGTCCTTTCATTTACTATGAGAGGGATATGGATCTTAGAATGATTGACAACGGTATTTTTCTTTTTATTTTTTTGTCTATGAATTTCTCTTTGCAACAATGCAACCATGAATGGTGTTCTTGCTGAATAGTTGAACTGTTTGCGCTTTCTACATTAACATAAAAAGGTGCTTTTTTTTTTTCTTTGTTACAAACTAAGAGAATTGAATGAGAATTAGATTGGAGAATTAACAAGGTATGGAGAGATAAATTCGTCAGTAAAAATGTTGCAGTATGTGCTGATTGCCCCAGGATTTGATGAACAACAGCTGATGATGTTAAAGCCACTACTCAAAAAGAATAATGATTGGTCCTCATTTTTTGATTTCTCGTTCCTAGTTATGTGAATAACCCTTTGTTGGATCATCGCAGATTTTGAACTTTTCTTTTCTGTTTCTATTTATACTATGCCTTTTACTAGAACGATGGCAACTGTTCTTAATACCTCAAGAAATATTTTTGTTGCTGAGCCGTTGGTTTTTGTACTTATGTGAAGTTTCTTTTGTCATGTAGACAATAAATGTAACAAGGTTAGTTACTCCAGCTATTGTCGTGGGTTTAGGTGCCTTAACACATACATTGGGCACCCTCGTTCCTATGATAGGAGCAAGTGGATTTTCTAGAAAGTTAATAGTTGTCGATATGTTTAGAAAGTTAGATATGCATAGTTTTGGATGGTTTAAACTTTTTGTACAGTTTAGAACTTAAGGATATAGTTTTCGAATGTTTGGAATGTATAAACAATTGTTGAATGTTTATAATTTATGGATATAATTTTTTTTTGATGTTTCAAACAATATTTTGGTGGTTGATTAATGTTTTGTGATGCTTGTTTGTAATATTTGTTAGATTGTACAAAATTGGTCAAATAGAACCTGCTGAATTTTTTATTTTTATTTTTAAAAAAAAAAAACTGCATATTCTACAGTAGGCATAATAAGTCGTTGTATTACATATTTTACGACACGCAATCAATGTCGTTATTTGTTTCACCAATTAACAGCGTGCAAAAGTAGTCGTGGAAAAAGTAACAACGTACAAAATCTGCCGTTAAATAGTTTTTAACGGCGTACTATTTCATGTCGTAGAAAAAGTAACAACGACGCACAAAATCTGCCGTTAAATAGTTTTTAATGGCGTACGAAGCATGTTGAAAGTGAATGACTTTCCATGACTGCTCATAATATGATGCGCGCTGCACGTCGTAGAAGAGTTTTTACAGCGTGCATTGCACGTCGTAAAAACCATTTTTTGTTGTAGTGATTTACCCCGTATTCATCAAAAAACCCCTCTTTTCCATATAACACTCAAATCTTAGATTTGTCCAAACCACAATCAAATCTCATCATCTATACACAATAGCAAATAACTAATCTAAAAACCATATTAGAGTGTAGAAAATCCGTACCTCAAGTGTAGAAAACCCAAGCAACAAGGTGAAACTTCAAAGATGACAAAATTAATTTCTTCTTGGATCAAAATGAAGCCCTTGTAGCCCTCTACCCTTTTCCAAAGACCCTAGAGTGAAGAGATCCTTAGATCTAAGCGTATTTGTAGAGAGAAGTCAAACCCTAGAGAAAGAGAGAGAGAGAGAGAGAGAGAGAGAGAGAGAGAGCTGATTTAGGGTTTGTGAGTGAAAAGGGATCAGAAAAATGAAGCAAAATGGCGCTGTTGTGAACTGATTTACACCAGGCTCACTCGAGCGAAGGAGTTCTCGCTCGAGCGTAGGGAGCATCGCTCGAGCGTAGAATGCAAAGCATCAGGTCTGCCAGCCAATGCAGACGCACGCTTGAGCAAAGAAATATTTTCTCAAGACTCGCTCGAGCACAAGAATCCTTGCTCAAGCGAAGAGGCCAAAATCTGGGCAATAACTATTTGTACCAAAAGACAACCAACCTATTCCAAACTCGCCCAACAAGTCCTAAAACTCAAATTCAAAGAAGTAAAGGGAGGAAACAAGAGATAGACAACAATATACAATCACGGAACCCGAGCCCAGAACACAATAAAGGTCGGGGTAAAATCAGGATCGCTATAGAAGTGAAAATTATCTTTTTGAAGTTGGAACTCGAATGTATCAAAGCTTCAAGTGCACAAAGTGTGGATGCAGCTCCTTGTACTTAATACATGGCAAATGATAAACGCGAGGTTGGCGTCATCAAAGGACATGTCTATAGACCCCCCATTTTTGACCGTTCTCAAGACTTGGACGTCATCGTTTGAACACTCGATGATTATCCATGCTGGTGTTTGTTTTGAGTTCCCGAAGGTCTTGGCCGCGCGCCTTGTCTTAGGATCTCTCAACTTGTCTGATTTGTGCTTGGTTGTGGACCAAGGGCTTATGGTTTTGCTTCTGAGGGAAGAGGGTGGCTTGTTGGCCATCCCCTTAACCCATCGGCTAAGGCATGGTGCCATC